TCCAGCCTGGGCAACAAGACCAAAACTCGATCTCAAAAAAACAAGAACAAAAACTGGGCAAGGTGGCTCATGCCTGTAATCCCAGCACTTTGGGAGAACGAGGCAGGCATATCATCTGAGGTCAGGAGTTCAAGATCAGCCTCTCCAACATAGCAAAACGCCTTCTCTACTAAAAATACAAAAATTAGCCAGGCATGGTGGCATGCACCAGTAATCCCAGCTACTCAGGAGGTTGATACAGGAGAACTGCTTAAGCCCAGGAGGTGGAGGTTGTAGTGAGCTAAGATCACGCCACTGCACTCCAGCCTGGGCAACGGAGCAATACTCCATCTAGAAAAAACACAGGCTGGCCAGGCACAGTGGCTCACACCTGCAATCCCAGCACTTAGGGAGGCCGAGGCAGGCAGATCACGAGGTAAGGAGCATGAGACCAGCCTGACCAACATGGTGAAACCTCATCTCTACTAAAAATACAAAAATTAGCTGGGCATGGTGGCACACACCTGTAATCCCAGCTACTCAAGAGGGTGAGGCAGGAGAACTGCTTGAACCTGGGAGGCAGTGGTTGCAGTGAGCCGCGATCATGCCACTGCACTCTAGCCTGGTTGACAGAGCAAGACTCAGTCTCATAAAAAAAAAAATATATATATATATATACACACACACATACACACACACACCCCCCATATATATACACATATATACACATACACAAGTATACACATACATATATACACATACATATACGCAGACACATATATGCGCACCAAGATCAACAGAGTTCCTAAAGGAAGTCCAACAGCTCTTAAGCACATGACAGTGAACTCAGAAATGCACTTATTTCTCACCTTTTCAATTAGCAGAAGTTCAAAGTTTGAAAACTACTCTATTAGTGAAGCTATTTGGAAAACAGGGACTCACATAGCTATTGGGAATGTAAACTGGTACAACCCTATAAATAACTGAGCAACATCTATGAAAATGACATATGCATATATCCTCTGACCTAGCAATATCACTTCTGGGAATTTAGCCTACAGATATTCATCGTGCAAGGCTGTTCATTACCGCAATGCTTATCACTGCAAAAGAACAGAAATACAACAGATATCCATCCACAGGGGACTCAATTATTATGGTATTATTCAATACCAACCATACAATAGAATACCAGGTATTTGAAAAAATAAAAAACAAAGAATGTTCTGTCCTAGTAAGGAACGATCTTCAAGCTCTATTGTTACATGAAAAAGCAAGATATACAACAGTGTGTGTAGAATGCTCTTCTGAGGAAGAAAAAAAAGGGGGGGGGCGGTAATAAGAATGTCTTTTTATTTGCTTGAATTATTAAAGAAACGCCTACCACTTTGTATATTATTTTTGAACCGTGTGAATGTACTACCACTTTGGGTAGACTGCGTAATTGGCCCCGATTCTTCACCCCTCCCTGTGTCCACACCCTTGCCATGGCCTCACTGTGGGAAGAAAGTACTTTCCCACCCTTTGACTTAGCTTGGTCATTTGACTTGCTTTGATCAATGATAAAGGGGTGGAAATGATGGTATGCCAGTGGCTTGCCAGAAATCAGAATGTGGCTTTACATATGAAATCTACAGTATCTTATGCTATCGTATGTAAAGCTAGAGTACTCAAGTCATTACGGTACTGGTATTGTATTTCACAAATTGTACACTGGATGAAAATAGAGAATCCAGAATTAGATCCCAGAATATATGCAAGTTTAACATGAGAGCTCAGCTCAATTCAATAGAAAAAGACTGGCTAGGCATGGTCACTCACACCTGTGATCCCAGCACTTTGGGAGGACAAGGCGGGCAGACTGAGCCCAGGACTTTGAGACCAGCCTGGGCAACATGGAGAAACCCTATCTCTACAAAAAATACAAAAATTAGCCAGGTATGGTGGCACATGCCTACAGTCCCAGCTACTCAGGAGGCTGAGGTGGGAGAATCACTTGCCCCAGGAGGTCAAGGCTCCAGTGAGCTGTAATTGCACCATGGCACTCGACTCTGGGCAATGGAGCGAGGCTCAGTCTCAAAAAAAAAAAAAAAAAAAAAAAGGCAATGTTTAATACTGCTGGCACAACTAGGCTACCCACCTAAATAAAATTGAACCTTTATCTTATACCAGATACAAAAATAAATTCACTGCAGATTAAGGAATAAGGGTAAAAAAAAATTAATTTAAAAATATTGCAAAAAAAAGAAAACACATGCACTATCAAGAACCAAGGAGACTTCCCCTAGTGAAGTCTGCAGACCTAGAAGGTATTTTAAAAAAGACATAACTGATGATCTAAAAACGAAAAATGTATAAAAAATTTTTTTCAAAAGAGAAAAAAGGAAATATTTGCATGGAAAATGATACCACAAAGTCAACAGACAAAAGATTACTCTGGAAAAAATTATTTTCAATGCAGGAGACAAGATTAGTAGTTAAAATATACCAAGGGCCAGGCACGGTGGCTCATGCCTGTAATTCCAGCACTTTGGGAAGCTGAGGCAGGTGGCTCACTTGAGGGTACGAGTTTGAGACCAGCCTGTCCAGTGTGGCGAAACTCTCTCTCTACTAAAAATACAAAAATTAGCCAAGTGTGGTGGCAGGCGCCTGTAATCTCAGCTACTTGGGGGGCTGAGGCAGGAGAATCACTTGAACCAGGAAGGCAGAAGTTGCAGTGACCTGAGATCACACCACTGCACTCCAGCTCCAGCCTGGGAGACAGAGTGAGACTCCATCTCAAAAAGTAAATGTATGCAAAGAACTCCTACAGATTGACAAGAAAGGAGTTTCCACTTCTGGTAATGACAAGGCAACTTATATCAGACCAACCCTCATGTAAATTCTGAGTAAAATGTTTACAATGATCTGAGCGCACTGGCAGGAACTGGAAAACAACACTTAGAAAAACAGAACAACACTGGGTGAAGTACGCATCTTTATAAGATTTTTGCCTAAAGCTCCAGGGATAGAAATCTAGCACCATGGGGACCCCACATTCTGAATATAGTATCTTCCCACATCTCTGGCCTCCCCCGAACCACACGTGCACAAAGCAGACACAAAGCAGCCCAGTTACGGCTAAAAAAAGCAGAGATTTCAGTTACTGCCCATCAAAGGGGAGATAGAATTTGGGCTGTAAGCTTAGCCAAGTAAACTACCTAAGAAAACCAAATAAATAAAGAACTTAAAAGAATTCATCATCTCTGGCTGGGTACGGTGGCTCAAGCCCATAATCCCAGCACTTTGGGATACCGAGGCAGGTGGATCACCTCAGGTCAGGAATTTGAGACCAGATTGGCCAACATGGCGAAATTCCATCCCTCCTAAAAATACAAAAATTAGCAGGTGGTAACGCACACCTGTAATCCCAGCTACTCTGGAGGTTGAGGCAGGAGAATCACTTGAACCTGGGAGGTGGAGGTTGCAGTGAGCAGAGATTGCACCACTGCACTCCAGCCTGGGTGACAGAGCAAGACTGTCTTTTTAAAAAAAAAAAAAGGAAGAAAGAAAAAACTAATAGTCTGTGGGAAATACCATTCACACTGCCTACAGTACAACCTCTACGTTGGAGTGTAAAGAAAATGTGACCCAGATGTGAAAACTGCACAAAAGGACCTTAAAGCAGCTCTTATAACTATGCTCAAGGATGTCAAGAAGCCTCAATAGAACAGAAATTATAAAAGAGCACAAATCCTACATCTAAAAATACTATATTGAAAATTCAACATTTCATCCGCTTTAATGGCAGATAGGAGAGAGATGAGGGCATCTATCAACTTGAAACTGGATACACACAAATTATTCAATTTGAAGAACAAAGACAAAAAAAAAATTAGGGAAAAAAAATGAAGAGAGCCTTAGGAACCTGCCTGACAATATGAAAAGGTTATGTGTATAGCTGGTGACCCAGACAGACAGGAGAAAAAGAATGGGGTAGAAAGAACTCGGAGGAGGCCGGGTACGGTGGCTCATGCCATCAATTCCAGCACTTTGGGAGGCTGAGGCAGGAGGATCACTTGCTCCCAGGAGTTTGAGGCTGCAATGCGCTATGATGGCACCACTGCACTCCAGCCTGGGTAACAGAGCAAGACCCTATCTCTAAAAATAAATAAAAAACATCCGTGTATTTCGCTGTATATAATTTATATATAAATTTTTAAAAAGCAAGTGTTTTTATCCAAAAACTGCTTGGCTCAGAGTAATTCTTCTATAAATGTTAGTCGTTATTCTGCTAAATCACAGAACATCAGGTTAGAAATCACTGGACTGGGCGCCGTGGCTCACACCCCTGTAATCACAGCACTTTGGAGGCTGAGGCGAGCTGATCACCTGAGGTGAGGAGTTTGAGACCAGCCTGGCCAACATGGCAAGACCCCATCCCTATTAAAGATACAAAAATTAGGCAGGCATGGTGGCAGGTGCCTGTAATTCCAGCTACTTGGGAGCCTGAAGCACGAGAATTGCTTAAACCCAGGAGGCAAGGGTTGTAGTGAGTTGACATCACGCCACTGCACTCCAGCCTGGTGACAGAGAGAGACTCCATCTCAAAAAAAAAAAAAATAGTGTTCTTTGAACACGCTCCTTCCCTACCTTCGGGGCTTAGCACAGGTTTGGTGTTGTCTGGAATGTCCTTGTCTCACACCCCTCCTAGGATCATGGCTACTCATTCCTCTGGTCTTAGCCTAAATGGTATTTCCTCCGGTAAGGCTCGCCTGACGCTCCCAGGCCAACAGTCAAAGTAATATATCCTATTACACATCCCTACAGCACCCTGGGCTGCCAGCCTTGCTGCTGTAATGAAATTGCACTTCTTCGACTATTGTCCATTTCCCCTAGGGCACTAAAAGTCCGAAGGGCACCGGCTTTGTTCTGCTCACTGCTCAGTTCCCTATACTCAGCACAGGGCCAGGGACCCAGCTGCTGGGGACAAAAAGCAGAGAGGAGTGTCTCCCACTCCTGCCTTCCCCTTCCCCGCATACCGCTTGGCTCGTTCCAGGTCGTCGTTAGCTTGCTCCAGCTCTCTGATGTATTTCTGCAATTGGTCTTTAATGGCTTTGGTCTGTGCGAGGTCATCCTCCAAGGCTGAGATCTGCCGGTAGCCTTCAGAGTGCTGCACTTCAAACTTCTCCTGAAGGACAACACAGACACTGGGTGAATGACTTTTGAGGCGGCTAGATGTAGTAGCACATACCCACCTCGAGTCACAGTTACTCGGGGGGTTAAACTGGGAGGACTGCTTGAGCCCAGGAGTTAGAGCCTGCAGTGAGCTATGACTAACACTGCACTCCAGCCTGGGCAACATATCAAGACCCTGTATCTTTTTATTTATTTATTTAGAGACCGAGTCTCTGTTGCCCAGGCTGGAATGCAGTGTCGAGATCTTGGCTCATGGCAACCTCTGCCTCCCAAGTTCAAGCAATTCTCCTGCCTCAGCCTCCCAAGTGGCTGGGAATACAGCCACCCACCACCAAGCCTGGCTAATTTTTGTATTTTTAATAGAGACCGGGTTTCACGATGTTGGCCAGGCTGGTCTCGTACTCCTGACACCTCAAGTGATCCACAGCGCCCGGCCTGACTCTGTCTCTTTATGAAACTCCTCCTCCCACCACGCTCCCTGGGGAGGCTCCAGGCTTTCTGTCCCACCCTCCCACCACAATCGAGAGACAAGCTAGGCTCAGGCAACAGAACCTTCTTCTCTCCCAAGAGCTGACTCTTAGGCAAGTGACGTAATGTGGTGGGAACAGGCAGGTGTCATTCAGAGCAGGCACAAGGAATCAACTGTTTTAATTACGTCCTGAGTGCCTCCACCCCCCGAGCACCTTGAATCCTGCCTACATTCAACAGGGTTGAGATTCCTATAGCCCCTAACATTCTTCAGACAAATCATTCTGCCCAAGGTGTCCACAGCCAAAGAAAGCCACATAAACCTCTCCAAGCCTCATCCACAGGGCAACGTGGGTCTCCTTCACACACACTATCAGTGTATTACAAAGATAGTCACCAGCTTGGCCCACAAAGTGAGACCTGGTCTCTACAAAATACACAAATTAGCAGGGCGTGGTGGCTCTCAACTGTAGTTCTAGCTACTCAGGAGGCTGAGGTGGGAGGATCATTTGAGCCTGAGAGGTCGAAGCTGCAGTGGGCTGTGATGGCACCACTGCACTCCAGCCTGGGCAACTCCCTGCTGTCTGGAAAAAAAAAAAAAAAAAGAAAAATCATAATGAGGTCCATTGTTTGTGCCCACAAGAATGGGAAGGCAGCATGTACTGGTTTTACAACACTCAACCATTCTCAATGTTTGATCCAGGACTCCCCGTTGTAGCCTGGAGAAAGAAGGAACAGTTTGATCTCTAGGTTACTTAAAAACATAAAGACAGGCCAGGCACGGTGGCTCACACCTGTAATCCCAGCACTTTGGGAGGCTGAGGCGGGCAGATCACCTGAGGTCAGGAGTTCGAGACCCCCCCGGACAACATGGTAAAACCCGGTCTCTACTAAAAATACAAAAAAATTAGCCAGGCGTGGTGGTGCGTGTTTATAATCCCAGTTACTCAGAAGGCTAAGGCAGGAGAATCGCTTGAACCCGGGAGGCGGAGGTTGCGCCACTGCACCCCAGCCTGGGCATTAGGTGAGACTCCGTCTAAAAAAAACAAAACAAAAAACCAGAAACACAAAGAAATAAAAAGAGGGAGAGAGAAAGGGAGGGGATAAGAGGGGGTAGGAAGAGAGAGAGAGGGAGGGAGGGAGAGAGAAGGAAAGGGAGAAAGAGAGATCTATGTTAATTACCAAAGAAACAGTCCAGCTCACTTCTCAATGATTCCCTGTTGCCAGCTGCAGCAATAACATCCATTATATGCTTATTCTGTGCTGGCCTCCGGGTTACGTACGCCACCTATCTTGTCTCATTCATCCCACTTCAGACATGAGCACTGAGGCTCAGTTCCTTAACTAGCCCAGAATCAACTGGTAGCAAATGACTGAGCCAAGATCAAACCCCAGCCTCCTGAGCAGGTGTCCTTAAGCAATTATGCTAACAAACCCTCAACCATTTCCACCCAGATCACCTGCCCACTCCCGTGCTCTCTCGATTCTGTTCCCGCTCTGCTTCCAAATTACTTTCCTTCACCAAACACTCAGAGCCAGGTGCGGTGCCTCCTGCCTGCAATCCCAGCACTTTCAGGTGGCAGAGGCAGGAGGAACGCTTGAAACCTGGCGTTCTTGACCAGCCTGGGCAAGACTCTGCCTCTACAAAAAATCTGAAAATAGCCAGGCATGGTGGCGTGCATCTGTAGTCCTAGCTGCTTGGAAGGGTGAGGCGAGAAGATTGCTTGAGCCCAGGAGGTTGAGGCTGCAGTGAGCTATGATCACGCCACTGCACTCCAGCCCAGGCCACAGAGTGAGACCACAACACTTAAAGAAAAAGGAAAAAGCACAAAAAAACAAAAACAGAAACACCCCAAAATCACCAGCCTGGCAAGATGGCGAAACCCTGTCTCTACTGAAAAAACAAAAAATTAGCCAAGCATGGTGGCGGGTGCCTATAATCCCAGCTACTTGGGAAGCTGAGGCAGGCGAATCACGTGAACCCGGGAGGCGGAGGTTGCAGTGAGCTGAGATCGTGCCATTGCACTCCAGCCTAGGCAACAAGAGTAAAACTGGCGGTGGTGGGGGATGGAGAGTGGGGCGTGGGGTGGGGGACTGGGAGGGGGCAGGCAGGCACGCTGACCAACTGTTTCAATTATGTCCTGAGTGCCTCCCACCTCCCACCCCCTGAGCACCTTGAATCCTGCCCACTCCCAAATCTGCTTCCTACAGCCCCCAACAATCTTCAGACAAATCATTCTGCCCAAGGTGTCCACAGCCAAAGTCACAAGGACCTCTCCAAACCTCATCCACAGCGACAACGCAAGCCTCCTTCATACATTATCACTGTATTACAAAGAGGCACCAGCCTGGCCCACAGAGCCAGACTCAGTCTCTACAAAAAATAAAAATTAGCAGGGCATGGTGGCCTCGCCTGCAGTCCCAGCTACTCAGGAGGCTGAGATAGGAAGACCATTTGAGCCTGGGAGGTTGAAGCTACAGTGAGCCGTGATTGCACCACTGCACTCAAACCCAGGCAACAGTGAGACCTTGCCGTTTCAAAAAAAAAAAAAGGAATCTCAATGACTTCTGTTCTTTGTGCCCACAACAATGGGAAGGCAGCATGTACTTGGTGTATACAACAGTTAACTATTCTCAATTTTTCATCCAGGACTCCCCGTTGTAGCATGGAGACAGAAGAAACATTCCAATCTCTGGGTTATTTAAAAACAAAGGCCAGGAGTGGTGGCTCACGCCTGTAATCCCAGCACTTTGGGAGGCTGAGACAGGTGGATCACCTGAGGTAGGGAGTTCGGAGACCAGCCTAGACAACATGGTGAAACCCTGTCTCTACTAAAAATGCCAAAAAATTAGCCGGGTGTGGTGGTGCGTGTCTATAATCCCAGCTACTTGGGAGGCTGAGGCAGGAGAATCACTTGAACCCAGGAGACGGAGGTTGCAGTGAGCAGAGATTGTGCCACTGTACTGCAGCCTGGGTGATGAGCAAGACTCAGTCTCAAAAAAAACAAAAAACAAAGAAGGGAGAAGGAGGAAGGAAGAGGAAGAAGGGATCAAGGAGAGAGGGAGGAAGAGAAAGGGAGAGAAAAGGAGGAGAGATCTTGTTAATTACCAAAGAACAGTCCAGCTCACTTCTCAATGACTCCCTGTTGCCAGCTGCAGCAATAACATCCATTACATGCTTATTCTGTGCTGGCCTCCAGGCTACGTACACTTCCTATGTTGTCTGGTTTAATTCCACTTCAGAAACATCAACACTGAGGCTCAATTACTTACCAAGCCCAGAGACCCATCGGTGGCAAATGACTGAGCCAAGATCAAACGCCAGCCTCCTGAGCAGGTGTCCTTAAGCAATTATGCTAACAAACCCTCAACCATTTCCATCCAGATCACCTGCCCACTCCCGTGCTCACTCAATTCTGTTCCCGCTCTGCTTCCAAATTACTTTCTTTCACCAAACACCCAGAGCCAGGTGCGGTGCCTCCTGCCTGTAACCCCAGCACTTTAGGTGGCAGAGGCACACTAGCCTAGGCAACATAGCAAGACTCTGTCTCTACAGAAAACTGGAGAACAGCCAAGCGTGGTGGCATGCACCTGTAGTCCTAGCTATTTGGGAAGCTGAGGCAGGAGGACTGCTTGCCCACGAGAAACCATCGGCGTGGCAAATGACTGAGCCAAGATCAAACGCCAGCCTCCTGAGCAGGTGTCCTTAAGCAATTATGCTAACAAACCCTTCAACCATTTCCATCCAGATCACCTGCCCACTCCCGTGCTCACTCAAATTCTGTTCCCGCTCTGCTTCCAAATTACTTTCTTTCACCAAACACCCAGAGCCAGGTGCGGTGCCTCCTGCCTGTAACCCGGCACTTTAGGTGGCAGAGGCACACTAGCCTAGGCAACATAGCAAGACATCTGTCTCTACAGAAAACTGGAGAACAGCCAAGCGTGGTGGCATGCACCTGTAGTCCTAGCTATTTGGGAAGCTGAGGCAGGAGGACTGCTTCAGGGCCAGGAGGTTGAGGCAGCAGTGAACTATGATCAATGCCCCTGCACTCTAGCGCCCAGGCCGACACTTAAAAAAAAAAAAAAAAAAATCACCAGCCTGGGCAACATGGTGAAACCAAAATACAAAAATTAGCCTGGCATAGTGGTATACGGCTATAGTTTCAGCCTACTTGGGAGGCCGAGGGTGGGCAGATCACTTGAGGTCAGGAGTTCGAGAACCAGCCTGGCCAACACGGTGAAACCCCCGTCTCTACCCAAAAATACAAAAAAAGCTGGGTGGGTGGGCATGTGCCTGTGGGTCCGCCCAGCTACCCGGGAGGCAGAGGTAGGGAATCACTTGAGGGGAGGCGGAGGTGCAGTGAACCAAGATCGTGCCCCTGCACTCCAGCCTGGGTGACAAGAGACCCCCATCTCAAAAAAAAAAAAAAAAAAAAAATCAAAACTGAAAAC